TCAACCATTTATAGCACCTAGCGCCATCTTTTGCAAACGGACCGAATTAAGTTGTACACCCAATAGCAAAGAGCATTGTTTTCTTGCACTTTTCTCTCCTGTTCGCAATGAAGTCGTTGGCGGGCGGAACGTCAAATATGTTTAACAGTTTCATATTTTTTGCATGATCGAAAGGCAAAGTAGGAAATATTTATCCCTATAAGCGTCTTTTGTTCTACAAAGCTACATGTATGTGCTTCTAGTAAACTGCGCAGAAGCCTCTTGGATCAATTCCAGATACAGTAATGTTATGAAATGCTCCACAACAATTTACACTTCCTGAGATAGTAGATACAAATGGAAGACCTAAACAAAATATTACGACAAATAACGTCTAAGTTCAAGAGTAAATCTACCTTCTCTAAAATACTGAACATAGCATGGCGGTGCCACATCTGCACCCATCATTTTTATTATTGAAAATACTGTAGCCACAACACCACCCACAATTCCGAAAGCTGAAAAAGGCAAAGCCTAAATTTCAGCTGAGGCATTAAAATGACTTACTGAGAGAAATGCAGTTAACTACCAACATTCGTCTTGGTAGATAGATGAATAGCCTAAATTAACCATAAAGATGAACCCTTATTTCTCAGATCGGTGCTAATTGATTATCGATAGAATAGAGCACTTTAATCATGGACCAAGAAATGTGAAAAAGCCATACGATTTGGGATAAGAAATTACTTACTCCGAGAAATTGGCTCTAACTTCATCTGAGTCCTCTTTTATATTTTTCTTATTCTTTAGCATTATTTCCCTCTTCATCTTTGATGCATTTAGATATAAGTAAAATATGCTTGGCATGATCAGCGTCATTAGTGACATTGTGGATGCCCCAATCTAAAAACCAACTATTTTCATAGAGAGTTTTAACGAAAATAAGTATTACCAGATCTAGGAGGGGACCAAAGTTTGGCACGGATAGGGCCACAAAAATAAGAGACCAGAACAGAATTGAACGAACGAAGAATCTTTGCCATCCAAAGTCTGAAATGAGAATTCTTTATAACTTCTAAGGAACAGATGTGATATAATCTTCAACTGAAAAGCTTTTTCGAAAAGTGAATTTATAAATCTAGCCAGTAACAATTTCTGCCACTACCACTACACTATTTCCGCAACGAACGTTTCTTCAAAAAAATTTACAGGAAAATTTAATAAGGATATCTTATTTTGAGCTTGTCTCATTCGACATTTTGAAAGATACCTACATGGTGGTGATGCTCTATCTGATAGGGTGGAGGAATTCCTAGTTGAAACAGCGATTCTGATACGTGCTACACTGCATTTCGCTATACCCACCTCAATTTAGAATTTAGCGTGGTTGAAGATTTGCGGTTTTTGTAAATCAGCAAATAAGGTTACTTTTTTTGATAAAAATAACCATGCTACACGTGCCATTAATTCACTTCTACTAGTACGTATCTTTTTCAAATCGCGACCTTGATTGTGTACTTTCCTTTGTAATTTCATTAGGTGATCGACTAATTGTTATGGTTACATGTTACGATTC